AACAAAATATATTAGGAAAAACATGTCATTTGTGGTGTATATAAACTGTTGCTGATCAAAATTATTCCTGTTTATACTGACAGGCATGGTGTTCTGTCAAAGGACAGAACATTTTCAGAACATGTTGCCATGATGGTGACAGCTGAGAACAGAATGAATCATTCAGTGGAATCATAACCAGATCAGTTAGACTCACAAGCTCTAGGATTCACTGTCTGATAAGAAGACGACTTCTTTGATTGGCATTCTAGAAGTTGGAAAGATGAAGAATGTGGACTATTTCTATGGATATACAACTTCTTTATTCTGTATAGGCGATGTTTCGCAATATATTTTAATGTCGTCACCACTTGCTTGACAAAGACATTAGAATCTATGTTGAAATGTCGCTTTTACAGAATAAAGAAGTTGTATATGCATAAAAATAGTCCACATTCTTGATAAGAAGATGACTATGACTATTGGTGTTTGGGGTTTGAGGGAGCAACATAAAACGGGAAATTCATAAAAGAATTTATCCCAAGATCATTACTAATTATTAATTATCCCCCGCCGCGCGTTTAGCGCGAAGCGGGGGATATAGTATTAGGCTCTGTCCGTCTGTCCGTACATACGTACGTACGAACTGGAATATCTTAAGAACCGTTCACTAGATTCTTTTCATATTTGGTACCTAGTTTCATCACAGTATAAGAAAGGTCCAACTCAGGTTTGGTGACCTTGACCTTCATTTCAAGGTCACAAGGGGACTTTAACATTTTACCTGCATGTTAAGCTATATCAAGAACCGTTTACTGGATTTTCTTCATATTCAATGCCACGCTTTATCTAGGAAAGGCGCAGGGCCAAGTCGATTTTGGTGACCTTCACATAATTTTCAAGATCACAGCGACACTTTGAAGATTTCAGCATGTTAACCTGAATTGTGAGCAAGATATTTCAGGGCGGTTCACTGGATTTTCTTCAGACTTTCAAGACTTCCCTTAAATGTTTTTCAATAAGCAATTTCTTTAGTACTAGTTTTGCATATTTCATACACTATGACATTCATGTCAAGGTCAAAGTCAGTCTTGAAAATATGCGTGTTTGAACACCTAAAGAGCAAGATATCAAGAGAGGTTGACTGGTCATGTTTTTGTTGACATTTAACTTCATCTTAAACTTTCATTACTTTATAGGTTTGATTTGATAATTTGCGGCGGGGGATTATGTCACCTTAGTGACAATGCTTTTTCTAGCCTTTTTACAGGCCAGTAACTTTGAGTTGAGGAAACACATTATTGGAACTTTCCAGAAAGTGTACTGAGAATGATGTGGACTGCATTCCTGACAAAAGTCATCCATGGGCAGGCAGCATTGACTGAAGAACTTACAAGACCATTGTCTGGAAACCCAATGAGGGTGACTCGTGCTATTACCTTCTCTTGTGGACTGTTGCAGCACACTAATGGTTTCACTACAAGTACAGGTGTATACTTTACACCAGTCTTGCTTGGGATATATAGTCTACAATGGTCTGCTTTGGAGCATCTGAAATCTAGCTTAGGATGGTCTTGTTTAAAATATCACAAGTCTAGCTTAGAATGGTCTTGTTTAAAATATCTAGCAAGTCTAGCCTAGAATGGTCTTGTTTAAAGTATCAGAAGTCTAGCTTATAAAGGTAGTACTAGTATCATCAGTGTATACACTGATTGTATGCTAAAGGTTCTGGGAGTGTATACACTGTAGACAGAATGTCCTGGAAGAATATACATTGTATACAGAATGTTCTGGGAGAGTACACAAGATATACTGGATGTTCTGGCAGTGTATACAAGACACGATGCTTGGATGCTACGAGCTATGTAAGAAACAGCATATTGTGACAGGTGTTGATGAAACACAAGACACCCACATTCCTTCACACAGAGATGTTATCAAGGTATCTCCACCCCCTTGGCTTGTCGACACTTCCAGACTGCCAACACAGAGATGTTATCAGGGTATCTCCAGCCCCCTTGGCTTGTCAACACTTCCAGGCTGCTGACACAGAGATGTTATCAGGGTATCCCCACCCCCTTGGCTTGTCAACACTTCCAGACTGCTGACACAGAGATGTTATCAGGGTATCTCCAGCCCCTTGGCTTGTCAACACTTCCAGGCTGCTGACACAGAGATGTTATCAGGGTATCCCCACCCCCTTGGCTTGTCAACACTTCCAGGCTGCAGACACAGAGATGTTATCAGGGTATCCCCACCCCCTGGCTTGTGAACACTTCCAGACTGCCAACACAGAGATGTTATCAGGGTATCTCCACCCCCTTAGCTTGTCAACACTTCCAGACTGCCGACACAGAGATGTTATCAGGGTATCTCCACCCCCTTGACTTGCCAACACTTCCAGACTGCAGACACAGAGATGTTATCAGGGTATCTCCACCCCCTTGGCTTGTCAACACTTCAAGACTGCAGACACAGAATGTGTTTTCACTCACACTACAAGGGTTATTACATTTATGAAAGAAATGTTAGTAGTGTAGCAACTAAGCTGATAAACTCCACTCCGCTCCGTTCCGCTCCGCTCCACTCCACTCCACTCCGCTCCACTCCACTCCGGTCCACTCCACTCCTTTTAGCCAGGTTACCATTTAGGTTCTGCTTGACACCTTAGCATGAAGATTTGCATGAAACTTAGGGAAACTTCCTATTTGAAATCTGTTATATTGACAAATTGTTAAATCACACAAAAAAGTCCAGAAGTGTTTTGTTAAAGTCAGAAACTTTGCCATGTGATGTTGCTCTTGTGGTTAATTATCAGCCTCACGGAAATGATGCTGTTATTTGAATACGTTCTAACCAGATGCAAAAGAACCCTCAGTTTTCTAGTCTTGCTTCATCATCTGTGTCCTCACAGTGAGTTGTTTCTACCATACTGAATCTGTTTAAGCACCATGAAGGAAATTACTGGTGAATTATGGGAAACCTGTTCTGCCTGCAGCCATTGAGAGATGAATTGACAAAGATAGAATTACTTTGTACTGTGGAGGATTCTGCTGGAATTTCTCATTAAATCACCACAAATAAAACATTTATATTTTTCAATATGTTTTTCTATATTGAAATTACTCTGAGCTTCATCTCTATGAAGGATTAGATTTAGGCCCTCTGTTAGTATTCCATTCAATGTAACCCACATATAGCTCTATTGTTCAGATCCACAGATTACATCTCAGCTCAACATCATCATACAACTGTGGTCAGCCATATGATTATCACTAACATTGGTTGGTTGGTTGGTTGGTTGGTTGGTTGGTTGATTGGTTGATTGGTTGGTTGGTTGGTTGGTTGGTGGTTGTTGTTGGTTGGTGTTGATTGGTTGGTTGGTGTTGGTTGGTTGGTTGATTGGTTGGTTGGTGTTGGTTGGTTGGTTGGTTGTAAATATTTAAATTTGACCCGAGATTCCAGTGTCTGGCATTGTGAACAACAGTGTATACCACATGGGTTCCACGACTCATCATCAACCAAGTCACAGGGTCTGATTATCTCCTGCCCAGCATAGTTTGATTGGAGCCTATTCTTATACAGAATTCCTCACTACTAAGAAGTCCATAAATGTCCATGTTTTCATATATATTGCAAACACATAATCATATCTTGTGTAATGCTTTCCTCCCAATCCAGAAAGAACTAAAACTAATGGACTACATTTCAGAAAACTATCTGTACATACATTTTGTGAAGCTTCACTATCAAATTTGTTTTGTGATGTGGAATATGCAATCGTGTGGTGACTTTACGCCTATATTGTCAGTAGTGTTTGTTCAATACCAGCATGTCATGTTGCACTTTGTTTCTATTCTTCATTGTGTGCACATATTGTTGTAGATATGTTACTGGAGGTTAAGACTGACAGGTAGTTGTCTGTTCTCACCTTTCTATATAAAGTGGATGACAAATCCAGATAAAAAAACTTTTGGGGTGGAGTTTTGTGTTGATACAGATGTAAATTGGAAATAAATAATTGAACATTAAACTTCCTTGGATTCTGATTGTAACTTCCTGCCAGTAATTGATGATTACAAGTGTACAGGTGTCAGGTGTTTAAGCACTCACTTGTTCTGTGAAGGTCTTAAGGACAATTGTCAAAGGTTCTCAATGAAGTTCAATGACTGACTGACTGACTGAGTTTGGTTTTACGCCCGCTTTTAGCAATATTCCAGCAACATCACGGCGGGGGACACCAGAAATGGGCTTCACACATTGTGCCCATGTGGGGATTCGAACCCGGTTCTTCGGCGTGACGAGCCAACGCTTTAACCATTAGGCTACCCCACTGCCCCGAAGTTCAATGAAGATACAGTACTGAATGTTAAGGTGTTGATGGTTACAATTGTTTTATGAAGGTGTTCAGTGTAGATGGGGACGCTTTTCAGTAAAGGGTGAAGGTGTTCAGTGAAGGTGTAAGGTGTTTGGCAAAGGTGTCAAAGTGAAGGTTTCAGGTATTTGGCAAAGGTGTCAAACAGGCTTCAGTGCAGGTGTTAACCCTTTCAGTAAAAGGTTGCACCTGTCCAGTGAGGTAAAGAAGGTATCAGGTGTTCAGTGAAGTAGCAAAGGTGTCAAGTTTCAGTGAAGTTGTGGAAGGTGTTCAATGACGTAGCAGAGGTGTCAACTTTCAGTGAAGTTGTGGAAGGTGTTCAATGAAGGTGTTGAAGGTGTAAAGTTAGATATCAAAAGTGTAATGTATTTCTTGCAGGTATGGAAGATGTCATATGTCAAGTTAGATATCGGAGGTGTCATGTTTTCAGTTAAATATCAAAGGAGTAATGTTTCAGTGCTGTTTGGAAAGTTTATGTGTTCACTGAGGTATTAACGGTGTCAGGTATTCCGTGAACATTTCCTATTTCGTGCCCATCAAGAATGAGAAGCGGCAAGTTGTCCTGTTCCTTCAATGGAACTTCACTGAAGTATTAACAGTGTCAGGTATTCCGTGAACGTTTCCTATTTCCCTCTGTGTGTTTCAGGCAGCCCATTCTGGTGTCTCCTGGACATCGTGCCCATCAAGAATGAGAAGCGGCAAGTCGTCCTGTTCCTGGTGTCCCACAAAGACGTAACACGAGACAAAGCCATCGCCATGGATATACCAGGGACAGACATTAATGGTAGGTCTAACTGTGTTTCATTTCTATTGTTCACAAGTACATGTACTTATGTTATGATCATAAGGATCGTTTTAGCCCAGATCTGCAGGACAGAAGAGAATGATTCCTATGGGATTCCTTTAGTCCAGCAGTTAATACAGATCCTCTCTGACACACAATGTCTGCTAGGAGGTAGTTCAAAAGTCCAATGTCAGATGGAAACCATCAGTCATAAGTTTGAAGACATAAAGTACGACTTCCATGCATAGTTACATACTCATTTTCAAATGACAAGAAACAAATAACCATTGTGTATTAGGTCTTTGAATGGCATTTAAAAGTGATACGCATAAAGAAGAGAGGTTTTATGGATGTCAACTTCTTTATTATCAGGAACACAACGTTTCAGAGTATATCCTTACTCCTTCATCAGGTGAATGAATGTTATGAGGCAGAGAGCATCATTTTATCACCATGCCTGTAACTCTCACTCACTCCAGGAGTTGATATCAGCTATGGCTCCATGTTATATCACATGTCTGTAACTCTCCAGGAGTTGATATCAGCTATGGCTCCATGTTATATCACCATGTCTGTAACTCTCCTGGAGTTGATATCAGCTATCATAAGCTCCATGTTATATCACCATGTCTGTAACTCTCCAGGAGTTGATATCAGCTATGGCTCCATGTTATATCACCATGTCTGTAACTCTCCATCAGTTGATATCAGCTATAGCTCCATGTTATATCACCATGTCTGTAACTCTCCAGTTGATATCAGCTATAGCTCCATGTTATATCACCATGTCTGTAACTCTCCAGGAGTTGATATCAGCTATGGCTCCATGTTATATCACATGTCTGTAACTCTCCAGGAGTTGATATCAGCTATGGCTCCATGTTATATCACCATGTCTGTAACTCTCCAGTTGATATCAGCTATAGCTCCATGTTATATCACCATGTCTGTAAGTCTCCTGGAGTTGATATAAGCTATAGCTCCATGTTATATCACCATGTCTGTAACTCTCCAGGAGTTGATATCAGGTATCACTCCATGTTATATCACATGTCTGTAACTCTCCAGGAGTTGATATCAGCTATCGCTCCATGTTATATCACATGTCTGTTAGTCTCCTGGAGTTGATATAAGCTATCGCTCCATGTTATATCACATGTCTGTAACTCTCCAGGAGTTGATATCAGGTATCGCTCCATGTTATATCACATGTCTGTAACTCTCCAGGAGTTGATATCAGCTATCGCTCCATGTTATATCACATGTCTGTAACTCTCCAGGAGTTGATATCAGCTATGGCTCCATGTTATATCACCATGTCTGTAACTCTCCAGTTGATATCAGCTATAGCTCCATGTTACATCACCATGTCTACAACACTCACTCACTCACTCACTCACTCTTGTCAGCACACTCATACTGAACTCACTTTTGAATACTCATTTTCAAAGATCTCCACTGTGAACAGAAATCATTGAACGAAGTATGAGGTATATGAGAGGGGTACTATCAGGCTCCTGGACCCAGCGGTGTAACATGGCAGTGCACTGTGCAGAGTTGTGTCCCTTGGCTGATGTGATGCATTCACTGACAGCACAGGACTGTGGGTTTCTTCACGATGTTACATGTCTGCCTCCCATGTGACTTACCTTGCACTTCAGTAGTGGACATTGTGATTTAATTATTGGCATTAGCATCAGCCAGGGAAATGACATTGAGGGATACAAACTTGATGGAAATATTTTTAAGATTAGCTGTTAGTATGCCAGCCACTTCTCAACAGGTCACACTGAGTGATAAACCATATTCCTGTGAGGTTCAAACCTGGACTTTGCTTCGCATCATGCACTTCCCACAGGACCAAACACCTTTCCCTGAATGAGGCATGTGATGACAATGTTCAGTTTTATCACTCAGGCTGCTCAGTAATCTCACCTAATTAGTTCTAAGCACTTTCCTTTTTTTATTAAAACAAGAAAATATTCATGCATCTTTAAACACGAAAGATAATCAATGAACAATACCATACGCAGAACATGCACGCTGATTATTGAAACAGTCACAGAGTAATATTGATTCACGGTGTTATATAAACAAGGAAATTATGGTTCCGTTACTGTTGTGATGTATCTTACATTCCTCGCTTCATGGACTTCATCGAATCGCTCACCCTGGCTTTGTATCAACGTAATCTTCTAGTCCGTGGCATAACTCTGATAGGACTTCACCAGCTGCCTCCGTATCCCTGATCACGGAAGCTTTAATCTGTGCTGCATTAACTCATCATTTACATCCCAATAAATACCACCCATCATGCCTTCATTTCCAATGTAGATCGATCCTGTGATGGAAACTGAGCCAGTCCATTTTGAAACCAGGGGGGATGTTTCCAGGAGAGGACAGCATGTGCATGAAAGTTTAAAATCAAATCATTGCAGCTCACCCCAGTAAAGTTTACCTCACGCAAAATGGATTCATAAGATATTTCCTCACTCGTCTACGATGCATTAACTGTTAACATTGTTGAAACCTGCGAATGCAGCCAGGTTTTTTGGCTTCTCAGATGAAGGTTTCATAGTGGAAAGTTGGTTGCTCATTCAGTGCTGGTGTCTTCACACAAATAGGATCACCTGTATAGATTTTGTGGTCTCGCTATGTTGGAACATAGTTCATCGATAGAGGATTTGACGCAGGAGCTTATAGGTAAGAAACAAATTGATTACTACCATTGCTGTCACACACTTCATCACAGCATAACTGCTTGTATCCTTGCAACAACAAGGCAGGTTGCTGGTGTCAGAAGAGTCACGATCTCACATGGTGGGCTATCAAGTCTCTAATCAAGTCTCCGCAGGATTATTCAATTGAGATCTTTAAGAGAACATCGACATCGAGACATAAACCACTTTTTAACTCATATGTAAGGAATCATATTTCAGATTCTGCCTCTCTTAAATCAACCTTATTGTTGCAATAAAAAAAACACTTTGGGGAAATGCAAAACTGAAATCTACAGTAATGGTTTCTATTTAATCGGTTCCAATTATACTGGAATCTGTATTTTCTACAGAAATGCATATTATCAGGTCAATAAGTTAAGAAGACAATATCACTAAAAATTACATGGTACATACTAGTGTAAAACATATGCATGTAATATGGTACATACTAGTGTAAAACATATCCATGTAATATGGTATAAACTAGTGTAAAACATATCCATGTAATATGGTATAAACTAGTGTAAAACATATCCATGTAATATGGTATAAACTAGTGTAAAACATATCCATGTAATATGGTATAAACTAGTGTAAAACATATCCATGTAATATGGTATAAACTAGTGTAAAACATATCCATGTAATATGGTATAAACTAGTGTAAAACATATCCTTGTAATATGGTATAAACTAGTGTAAAACATATCCATGTAATATGGTATAAATTAGTGTAAAACATATCCATGTAATATGGTATAAACTAGTGTAAAACATATCCATGTAGTATGGTATAAACTAGTGTAAAACATATCCATGTAATATGGTATAAACTAGTGTAAAACATATCCATGTAATATGGTATAAACTAGTGTCAAACATATCCATGTAATATGGTATAAACTAGTGTAAAACATATCCATGTAGTATGGTATAAACTAGTGTAAAACATATCCATGTAATATGGTATAAACTAGTGTAAAACATATGAGAATAACATGGTACTTTTGTACATCATATTAGAATATTCAATGGCTAGGAAAGCACAAAAGAGTTACTGGAGTAACATCTTAAAGAAAAAGCAGTGTATCATTGAGTAAAACAGTATGGACCATAGTACCTTGGGGAATAACACAGTATCTTGAAATATTTTCTGTGTCTTATAGAAATGGTTTTAGAAGTAATTTGAACAGTAGCCTACACGGCTATATTTTGAGAATCTTGAAAACTCTTGATTATCTGTTACTCAAATGATATGGCTGGAAATCAAGAGACAAGACGTATTATTGGAATGGCTGGCCATTAGCCATAGTGAGACAGGTGGACGACAGGTGAACGAGGGCCTGTCATTCATAATGCAACATGCAAGGTGACCAGGTACACTGACGAGACTGTATCAAACTTACCTGGTCACAAAGTCATGTCAGTCAGTATTGGTGTTGTGTGCCATCTATTAACAGGCTAACAGTCACGTCTCTACAATTTGTAAGTCACACAATTTTATGCCTTTTTTAACCATTAAGTCAAATTAGATTTTCTTAATATTTGTTGAAAAAGATAGTGTATTGTTGTTGGCCTAGCACACCTGTTGGGACAATACTTGTAGATCTGGTAGTTCACCTACCCTGTGTACCTGTGATTTATAGATTACAACCCTGGAGAGAAAGTATATACTTTACCTTACACTTCCCAAGTGATAATTAATTAATCAATAATTTTTTCTCACCCATATAATTAAATTTACTCTGGATTTGTTAGATTTAAATGTTAACCATACACAATGACAAGTGTTGGTGCAGCCTCAAGCTCAGTCCCAGCTCATCAAAACTAACTAATGACTTATAAGAGAGCTTGAAAAGGTTTAAACATGTTTTTTTCTAAAATGATCTATTTGAACTACTTTTTCTGGTGCTGTGCCACACTCCTAAAAGTTGCAAGTTGCTAGTTTTGAGTATGAGGTACACATTAAAGGTAATGCAAACTCTGAACAATAACAGAAATCCAATTGTACTCTTTATCACTTTGTGTTTGCATCATACTGATTTGGACCAATCATAGCCAAAAAGTCAAAATCTCATCAATGAGCTATGTAGAGTTGTGTCCCTTCATCATGCAAGGATCTGGATACCATGGGTGCAAATGTCAACATTCTTCCTGATCGTGATTCTTGGTTTGTCATCAGCCCAGGCACATGGCTTGCCTCACATGGCTTGACTCACGTGGCTTGACTCACGTTGCTTGCAACCAAGACATAACTGAAGTACAGTTCAAAACAGCATG